TAAATAAACTCTAAGTGAGCATTAGGTAAACATTTACAACTGTTTAACTTTTGGAGTCAATTCTATTCACGATGGCCACATCAGCCAAATCATTTTAGGAGACATAAAAAAATGTGATTCCTCAGTTAAAATGATRGATAATGAGCTAATATTTGGTGTGGTAGTAGCTGAATCTCATCTTTTTTTTTCATAAAAATGGCATTAGCTTTCAGCAACAGCCATGTTTGTCTGTTAGCAAAATATCTCATAAATCACTGGGCAGTTTTTTTTTTAAAAAACTTCCAAAAAGCAATCACTGAACTGTAACTATAAATCAGTAACATTTGATGCCAGCCCAGTTCAAGAAAGCTGCCACTTATCAAACTCAGCACAACCATTGTTATGAATAGATTTTGAAGTTGGTGTGAGAGTAGCTGAGGATCAACCTCATCATACGCTCTGAGCGCTAACAGTCTCTGAAATCTCTATTCCAAGGTTTGAGCTGAACGGCTACAGATCCTCAAGCAACATAATTGTTTAAATCTGAAACTCTGTCAGGAAATGCATTCCTTTAATAAATGTCAAGTCTTTATTTGTTTCTGCATGATCTCTCTTCTGTGTAAAGACATTGACAGAAAATATGCTTACTTCATTACAATGCTTATTATTAAGTCGTTAATAATAAACTTTTATTCCGTTGCTTTTTATTTTTTTTTTGCAATGCTCCACAAAAAAACCAGCAGGGAGCAGACACGAGCTTTCTCTAAAAAAATGAATAAAACACTAACATATATCTAAATAATCTCGCTGAGATTGAGTTTAGTCCGGTGTAAATGAATTCCTGTTATGATCAGCTCTCAGACACATCTCAGCAGCGGGAGTCTATAATCTCTGCCAGCCCTCCCAGGAATGAGGAAAAAAGCCTCCCTCCTCAAGCAAACACTCCGAGACTGAAGAAGAGGAGGAGGAGGAGGAGGGGGGGGGTGGTAATCTGACGTTTCTAGCCCTGGCTGTGCGCGCGGACCTGAGGAAATGTGGGTGTACTCTCACCATAGTTGTGCAGCTCAGATGAGCTCACACAGCCGATGCGCGCATCGTAGGATCCGACCAACGTGAGAAGGCGTAAAAAGACATCGAGCCTTGCTTTAGTCAGTGGGAAGTGAGGATGCTTTTTTGTGCAAAAGGCTGTCGACTCTTTCCCCCCCTTCAACACAAAGTAAACAAAATTTTTTTTTTTCATTTGTTGGAAAGATTCAGTGGAGCTGCAGGTTTTCTGGCTGCGTGGAAATCCACTCTGACTCGCAGACGGGACTGAGCGGCTGAAGAAGAAGAAGAACCTACTTCGGACACTCATTTTTTTATCTCTCTCTCTCTCTCTCTCTCTCTCTCTCTCTCTCTCTCTCTCTCTCTC